ATAAGTCTCGTAGGAATTGTCAGTCAAGATATGGCAATTCAGACGCCTACCCTTTGTTATGGTCTCTGTGCATGAGGTATTTTTAACATTGAAGGCCAAGAAGGAACAGCTTGCTGTTCTCCTGTGAACATATCATGCACCTGAGCAAAGCTGACTTCAAAAAAAGACATTTCTGAAGCCTGTAGACTATTATTTTGAATGGTGTTCAAGGTGTTGCCTTGAAGGCTGGAAGCCCTTTTGCATCAGAAACAGAACAGCAGTAGCATAAGACTTCTATTTTATGCATTGCATAAAAGTCAACAAAGACATGTACAAACAGAAAAATAAATGTTACGAATCTTCAGAACATGTGACTGCTTTTGATATTTTACCACAGGCCTCACTACATCAACTGAAATCAACGACAAACCATTGGTACCAACCAGTCATTGAAACATTTCGGTGTCATCTCCTTGTGTTTGCAAAGCATTTGAGATTCATATGACATAGTCCTTTGGTCTTCCACACGTTTGCAGAGAAACTCATTATGGCAAGGAGCTGATCAAGCTCACAGACAACTAAAAACTGGTTGTAGAAAGGGCTACATTATACATGAAAGTCACTACTGGACATAGACCAATGCTGAGCACAATACTCCCGTAGTGCTTCCTTAGAGAACATCTGCTTGTGTTTCTCCTATTACTAGCTGCAGGAAAAAAAAAACAAATCTTAGCAGAGACTGTACCTCTAAAGCCAAATTTACTTTCAAGCTGTGAAATCTGACTTTTGCAGTAGAGCCAAGGCTTAGTAATCACACATACACGCCGTGTACTCCGAGGGTGCCAAGTCACAGGCTTCTGCTTTATGGAACCAGTAAAGAGTGAGAATGTTTTTGGAGCATGTTTTTGCTCAGCTTTGCAAACTGTATCTTGTCACCTGCCTGACTTAATGATAACACAATAAACTCAAATATTACAGCATCCAAAGCACTGCAATCAGTGTTTTTAAGACAACTACCTCTGAGCAAGTACGGGTGTTTTAGGTCACCATTGCAACGTCTCTCCCCATTGAGGTTTAAATGTCAGATGATAGTGTTAAACCCCAGTGCTAGCACATCCAAGCCAGGTTGACAACTTTGTACGTGCACTAACTTATCAAATCCAGCTTTAAATTAAATCTGGGTTGAAATTGAAGAAATTGGTTCTCTTTGACAAGCATAAACCTACTATTTACCTATCAGAAGCAGATGCTAGTATATTTTTAAATATTCCATAGCTGCCTGTTGTTATTTCTACAACATATAAGCAAAAACCCTATTTAGGAAGCATGTAGCATCTCTGGAATTTTTAGCAGAATGCATCTCTCCTGCTTTCCTGTGAAAACATCACCCATTTTTGCCTGCTAACTATAGTCCAGAATGTAATGGAGATGTTTGGCAAAAATATCTCCTACTGCCGCAATATCCCACTGAGCAGACATGTTATTTTTTGATTCTGCTATGCTTACTTCCACAAGACCTAATGAGAGCTAAAATGCTATTAATGCACTTAGTGACATGTTCTTAGCAATAAATTCAGTCAAATATAGCAAGACGGAATGAATGAGCCTAGGACAGACTAGTGAGACCAGAGACAAGTGATTCTGAACAGCTGCTGGCATGAAATTCAGTATTTGCAACACTGCACGACTTCACATTTCGGTAGTGCAGCGGTACAAGGACTGGAAGACTCATCATTGGTCAGTAAAACAAAAAAACTTTCTACCGTTTCCGCTCTTTGATTTGTGCGTCTCCCAGGAGCTCACGAAAGATTATGTCTATTAAAACATTACCTTGGCTGAGGCAATATATGCTTTTGTCTTAGAATGTGTACAAACTAAACAGCAATTTGGCATGTGTCCTCGTCACGTCCTCCACCCACTCGGTGGTTTGCATGTTCCTGTTTTATGTAGTGCTGTCATATTAAAATTACAGAAAGTAAACTACAACAGCTATTAAAAGTTTTACCTTCTAAATATATGTAAGGCATAGCCCTTATAGTGAACTCCTTTCCTGTTTCTACCGTGTTAACATGAAATTTAGAAGTGGCACACACACTAGAAAACACTTGGTCCTGTTCTTTGCCAGCCCTTTCCCACCTCCCAAAACAGTTCCATCATCACATATTCAGATAACAAAGGAGCTACCTGACCTCTACATCAATACTTCTGCTGGTGGTGCTCTTACTGTCTCATCCTGTCAGTCAGCTTCAGTGACAGCAAGAATTTCTTGTTTGTTCAGATCTGATCTAAACATCATGCTCATTAAAAACATTTTGCATGCAAACCAATAAATTAAATAAATAAGCATGACAAGACTGCCGAAGAGCAGTTTTCCTGCTTTAAATCTAAGAAGAAAAGACTTAGGGAAGATAGTAACATCCCCCCAAGCAGAAAAGACTGATGTACAGAGGAAGAGAATAAACTCCTTTTGATATCCAGTGAAAACAAGACAAAAACGGACTCCAACTGCAGCAAGAGGGACTGAGGCCAGACACTGAGAAGAAGGTGTCCCTCATCAAGGCTGGAGTGAAGGATCTAGGGATGTTACAGCATCTCAACGGAGTCCTTGGATCTAAAGAACACTGCTCAGGACCACCTATGGCAGACCTACCTTCCATAACTGCTGTTGCTGTAGAAATCAGTCCATTGCACCCGTGTTTGCTGCCTTAGTTGACAACCTCTCTTTTTATCCTGCATCCACTTCTTCAAATCCACCTGCGTTCCCTGTGTCTGTGTACCTGGATACTCAATTCCCCTTGTCACTCTTAACTTCCTTACATCTCATTATTCTGCCTGAGTGATTTTCAATATGTGCACATTATCTGCTTGATGTTTGTTCAGCTAATTACCTCCTCTCTTCTCCCTTCCTTATTAACGCTCATTGATGGTAGTCTGATTCCCTTTGTCCTAACATGGAAACCAATCCATTCAGCAGCCTGTTTTCCCCTTACAAGTTCCCTGTGTCTAATAAAACTAAACCCTTCCCTTTCACTTACTCTTTTAGAGGCTTTATTTCTCTCCACCAAACCCACTAGTGCAGGTAGAAACAAACACCTTGGGAAGTGACTGCTATCACACTCACGATGAAGGATGCTCCCAGTAATCCTTTGTGATCTAATGGGGAGTGGTACGCACACACGTGTGGACATAGTATGGGCTCAGAAAGCCACAGACAAATCGCATTATACTCTGACAGATGGGTAAATGATTTTCTGATAAGGTGACAAACACAGACCCAGGTACAAAGTACTGGAAACACTTGCTTTACAAAAGGAACGTAATAGAATTTCAAAGGAAAATCACATTTTGCGAGTTCAGCAGCTGCAGCAGGAAATTTTTTGAGTTGGTTGAGTGTGCCCACCAGAAGCGTTTACCCTTTATTCTACCCCAGTCGTGTGTATGATTATATAAGATTTTCAGGCAAAGAGACCCAGCCCCTTCAGTCTGCACAGTTCACAGTCAACATCCACCATGACTTTCATTTGTATTGGGATTACACTATCCATATCCACTTTTATTCAGGCTGCAAAAAAAAGCAGTCACACCCAGATATTGTTGGGCAATGTCAACTGGTTTATGCCTGCTTGTGCTAGTCACTCTTTAAGAAACATACATAAGCCCTGAACATTATGCTAGCACTTTTTTCTTGCAAATGGAGGTCACAGAGAGCAATAAAAGAGCCTCACAACACCACCTACAAGGCCTGCTTTTTTTCAGGCAACTTGTTGTCACTTCTTCTCCCTGGGATCCAGTGACAGGACGTGTGGGAATGGTTCAAAGCTGCGCCAGGGGAGGTTTAGACTGGACATTAGGAAGCATTTCTTTACCGAGAGGGTCATCAAACACTGGAACAGGCTTCCTAGAGAGGTGGCCAATGCCCCATGTCAGTGTTTAAGAAGCATTTGGACAATGCCCTTAATAACATGCTTTAGCTTTTGGTTAGCCCTGAAGTGGTCAGGCAATTGGACTAGATGATCATTGTAGGTCCCTTTCAACTGAAACATTCTATTCTTTTCGTTTTTATTCTATTCTATTCTATTCTATTCTATTCTATTCCATTCTACCTGACAGTAACATAAGTTGCTGGCCTGCAGACCTGGTCATTGTAACACTGCAATGTGTTACAGCATCACACAGGGAGTCATCTGTTGTCTTTCAAGTTCAGACCTGGGAACTAGAGCAGTGTCTCATGATTTTGACCCAAATAACTCACAGTAACCACAACACACACTGTAAGAAAGCAGCAAAACCAGATAACTTTCATGTAGTCACCAAGAACGAGAGAGTGATTTATCAGTGGTGGAAGGAGAAAGGGATATGTGATTGCTGTTCCCATTAAAGAGCTGGGAGATACCAGCTGTAATGCCATTACAGTCTTCTTCACCAGGATGCTGGAAATTCAAAGTTCATTTATTCAGTGTGAATTTCATACACTGTTCTCCACTAAAATTCATTCAAAACATCACCAAAGTTTATGTGGTTTATAGCCAGAGCACTAGTGAACACCAGTTGTCAGTAGAGGTGGGATGCTGAAAGGCAGAAAAACACAAGAATCCTTTTGCAGCATCCATAGCACTCTTTACACATTCTAATGCCAGAAAATAAAGGAAAATAAACCAAATTCTGGGTATAAATAAGATGTCACCCTTCATATTCAGTAGTCCAAAATATTACGAAATAACTGAACTATATCAGAACCAAAAGGGAGTTCACTTTTTGGTCTGTAGCTGACCACTAGAAGCTGACCTATAGTTAATGCTGACTTGGGCAGAAGAACCCAGAAGTGATCACTTCATGACTCTCCAGGTAGTAAAATGACTTCTTACAGAGTGGAACAGGGTGGAAGACACTAAAATAAAGAATTATCAGCACAGAATTATAAGCATGAAAGAAAGCAATCACAGCTTTTCATGCCTATATGCTAACTGAACCTATTATAATTATAATTCTAATTGTGTAGAAGAACTGGGAGCTCTACTTACTTTCACAGAGACGTCTTCTCAGCTTCCCCCGAATTTTATCGATGGCGTTGTAATCGGAGACATGAAACACGTGAGCAGACTTGGGTTCTGAAGCAATCTCATCGAGTTCCTCTTTTAAGGCTTCACCAACACCCACGGCAAAGATCCTAATCCCAGCCTGATGGGCTGCAGTGGCTGCATCCAAGACATAATCCTGGCTCCTTCCATCAGTCAGAAGGATAGCCACTTTTTTAACAGTTTGATCACTAAGTCTCCCACCAGCTTCTTTGGAAAAACTGTACGTGTTGATGTACCTGAGAGCATCTCCAGTGTTTGTATTACCCCCATAATACTTAATGTTTCGTGCAGCTTCTTTGATTTCCTCACGGGTTTTGTACTTTCCCAGGTCAAACTCTGTGGTTGGACGATCACTGTATCGCACCACACCCACACGGGTTTTGTCTGGGCCAATCTCAAAAGTTTCCACCAAATTAGACACCCACTGCCGAACTTTCTCAAAATCTTCTTTCCCGACGCTGGAGGAGGCATCCAGGATGAAGACAAGGTCATAGTGAACATTCTTGCAACCTGCAAGAGTGGCAGAAAATATCGCTAAGGGAAGCTGAAAGATGAGTATCAGATATACTAAATATTCCCTAGGCGTAGCTCTCTAGTGAGCAATTTGGAGGAGGCAGCAAACCCTCTCCCTATCCTGCAGAGAAAGCGCAGATTCTCAGCCTTTCTTCTGTGTGATTCACCTCATCTGTTTCAGGACATCTACAGTAGATCAGCACACACTTCGCTTTGAAATGCAAACCCTTTCTCTTCCTGCACTACTAACTGCCTTTGCTCAATCTTTCACCTACACCATCTGCATGCATATGAAGCTATTTTTCTCAAACTTCATTGCAATGCCTTCGCTCCGGCATTGCTCTAAAATGACCTTGGCAGATCAAGAGACCTGCCCTGACCTTGCCTATGCCAATCCTGACCTTGAGTAGTGAAGCTTTCATGTTCCCTCTTGCATTAACATTATGATTTATTTATGCTTAGCTAGAAGCAGTTCTTTTGCTCAGCATGATATCTTGGTGAAACAAGTTTATAACAAGATTATTTTGATTTTCAGGCTCTTTGCCATTGACTATTGACTAAAGGATGACTCACTGAATACTGGGATGGCTTCCTTGACAACAAAGGGCAGTTGCTTTGTAAGGGAAAAGTTCACTTATCCCCACAACCACCCTTTTGGCTCCAGCCACGATATTTGTAATCTGAGGCCTGTGTAATCCAAAAGGCAGAAGTATTTTAATTACAGCTTACTTGCCTTATGAAGCCAGACTGGTCATATATTTGTCAGCCACTTGCCAAGAAAGTACATCTCCCAGGAGATGTTTTTTAGCTCTTTCTGAATATATGAAGCCAAGAGGCAGTATATTCATAAATGTCCCACTGATGCCAAAGATTTATCAACATAATGCCCCAACTGGGCAAAATGTATATATATACATATGTTTATTTATTTCACTATTACAGACCATAGTCCCTAACAAATTATGAGTTTCAAGATTGAAAGCTATTCTACAAAGTCAATTTATCTATGGTCACAACCAACAACCATTGTTTCTCCAGTAATTCTTGTCTCACATCGTCTCACAAAGTACAGCTCGTTTGAACCCATGGTAAAAAGCTAATTTGACCAATCTTGTGGAGAACAAAGCACAAATGATACAAGACAGAGAGCTGGTCCATACCAGTGCCTGTGCCACTTTATTTCTCTCAGAGTAACAGGGATCTTCCACGTCCCACTGAACTGGAGATATTATATCCGTCCCCTAAACTCTTGGCAATTGCCTTTAAACCCTGCTGCTTTCCCAGGATCTGAGCTCCCACTGAGAGCAGATCTGTTTCTGTTGACTCCTGTTTCACTGGAGGACCCTGATTCCCCCAACTGTTCCCACTACGACCATGTTAATAACCTCCTCTGGGCTATGACCTGGACTGACCAAGCTACCTCCCTTGGACGGAAAATCTGAGAATACATAACTCCAGGGTATGCCCACCAAGGACAGTTCAGCTCTCCATACATTAAAAAGTGACATTGCAATGTACAGTTTGCATGTTTTCACATCAGACTAGTTCCCAGCAACAAAATGTCCATCAGTGACTAAGACCTTGGATCTGTCTCACCTCTGTGGCCTTGCCTGGAGAATGGCTGTCCCTGACTGCTGCCTTTAGACCTGATCCAGACCTTGACTTCCTGACTCATGTTTCTGGCTTGATCTTGGACCTGCTTCATCACTATGAGCTTGTCTGGGAATTTGGATTGTTTGTTGAGCCCGGCTGCCATCCCCCAGCTGTCCCTGCTCCCTGGCTGGGGGTGGTAGGACAGGCTGTGGCTGGTGACACCCTGTCCTGCCAGCCCTGGGAGACCTCCAGCTCCTGGCTCCCCATCCCTTAGGAAGCAGCCTGCCCTTGTTGCACTCCTGACCAGAGCTAAAGCACTGATGTATATACACCCAATGTGGATGTTAACTGATGACTAGGATGTTTTCCCCTGGAACAGACCAAAGAGTATGGAGGTATCATACACAGTTCATCCAGTCAAGCACTTGCTTGACAGCCAGCTCAGTGAACAGAAATATGAATCATGCTACCCAAAGAGGGGGGGAATGATGCTGTTGCCATATTTCCTCACTGAATTCCAGCATTTGAGCCTACAAGAAGGTCACAAAGTCTTCTCCCACACCCAAATTTGACCTTACGGTTCATAAATTATCTCTGGTGCTTTTTTGCTTCCCAAGTAACTAGCGATACGACGAGAGGAAATGGCCTCAAGTTGTGCTAAGGGAGGTTTAGACTGGACATTAGGAAAAACTTCTTTACTGAAAGAGTGGTCAGGCCTTGGAACAGGCTGCCCAGGGGAGTGGTGGAGTCACCATCCCTGGAAGTATTTAAAAGATGTGTAGATGAGGCGCTTAGGGACATGGTTTAGTGGGCATGGTGGTCTTGAGTTGATGGTTGGACTCGATGATCTTAGAGGTCTTTTCCAACCTTAATGATTCTATGACTCTATGATCATCCTGGGGCTGTGCACCTGTGCTGAAGAGGACAGGAATCCCAGAACCGCCCACTGCACTGGAAAGGGGAGAGTGGGTGGCTCAACCACATGAAGAGGACTTGCCTTCAGATAGGAGTAATAGCATTATAGGTAGGCATTATAATGCTGTAGGGCAATGCTCATGGTATTGCATGATGGCCGTGAGAGTGGTCAAGGATACACCCAGTGTTTTGTGAGTGACAATGAAAAATGAGCATCATCTGTTGCTGTGTTCATTTCCATAGCAGGGTACATCCCAGAGACCTGACCCAGGCGCTGCTGTTCCTTCGGTGTCTACGGGAACAACCTATGGACATGCGATTGGGATCACATTGGGAACAACCTATCCACATGTGATCACATTGGAAACAACCTGTCCGCATCGGATCATGTTCTGTGATGGCATTTTTTGAGTGAGGGAACACTTGTCCCTAACCACAGAGCAAGAAAGGTCTGGCTGGAAACACACAGTAATTCTCTCAAAGGTAATCAGAGTGTGGAGATGACCGAATATATCATTTTATATTATCGGTGTAAGTTACATGACATCTGTGTATATTGGCTCAACTGCCAAGTGTAGTTCTGCTTGATTTTTGCAGAATATGAAGGATATAATATATAACAGTAAAGGGTAAGCAAGAAATCTCCACTCTGCCCCCCCAATTCATTATTGTATCAATCTATTCTGTCTAAAAGAACATTAAGTAAGTGAGACTAACCAAAGAATATAAAGCTTTAAGTATGAAACCCACAAGGTACAGACCTTCCTGTTGCTTATTTTAACGACTCTCAGCAGGTGAGATGACAGCAATTAAAAACCAAGCAGAACAGACAGAATGAATCCTGTTGGTGTTCAAGGGCAATGAGCCTTAAAACAAGGGGGGTTTAAGTTTTAAAAAGTGACGCCTATTCGGGCAGTATGCAGGGATGAAAAAGACGGTCTTTCAGGATCATTTTCTTAGAGTCAGTGATTCTTTGCTTACAGACCTGATGGCAGTGAGATGAAATGCTGCAGAAAAGCTTTTAGTAAGTATTAATCTGCATTTTTAACACAGCAACGTCCACTGCTGGACAAAATTGATTGTTTTCCAAGAATGCTATAATAATATTGTTTACTGGTGGAAACTGTTCACATTAAGGCAATATGGGAGATAATTCATAGAAAGTGAACCTTCAGTTTTGTAATTACAGGAAAACTCTCTGGAAGCATAATTCCAGGAGTTGTATTCATCCAGTCAGACACTCAGTCAATTGTTTTGCAGTATTACCACTAAAAATAGTTCACAAACAAGCCATAAGCCCAAAATTATTTAAAGTAATCACAGAATGAACATATAAATGGTACCACCATATCCTTCCTGTGACTGATCCACAGGCAGAAAAAAAGATGAGATTTCACTTTGGTTTATTACTAAGTGCTTATTCCTGTTAAACTTCACCCCAAAAGCCTTATATAGATCACATAACAAAACTGTAAAGCGGCTAAATCTTCATTCAAGGTCAGGTTGGACGGGGCTCTGAGCAACCTGATCTAGTTGAAGATGTCCCTGCCCACAGCAGGGGGGTTGGACTAGATGACCTTTAAAAGTCCCTTCCAACCCAACTATTCTATGATTCTATTCTATGATTCTATGATTCTATTTCTTAGACTGAGAGAATGTCTAAAAAATCCTTTTCTTTCTTATAAATTACCCACGGCTGCAGAATAGCATCTGTCCTCAAAAAAGAGAGAAAGCCTCCATCTCAAAGTACCTTTGGGCTTTTATACCAATAAACTGCTTAGGTATACAGCTGTTTTCTGTCCCTGAGGTATAGCATCATTCACAGCCAGATAACTCATCTCTTCCTACTCCCTCCGAAAAAACAACGTGTCCTTGTCAAGACTGCCTATAGGAACAGTCCCTCAGCTGCACCATCCTCTAATGCATTCAGCGGCATTTGGGAGAGAGTGCTCATCAGCCCAGGCCAAAAGCCATGCCAGGGACCACGCTAGCAACTAGACAGTATGAACCAAGAGAGGGTATGAACAGTGCCCTGGCCCTGTTTAGCTCACTAGGAAAGTCCCAGTCAGATAGAAGATTCACCAGCTCTAATCTGAAACCCACTGAAGGCAATGGCAGAACTGATCTCCGTGCCAGCGTGGGGTAGATGAAGCATATCCAGAGTAAACTGCATGCTGCTCCCCTTGCTCTGGGTAGCTGAGCTAACCTTTCTGAGCCCGCAGCAGAACCAGAGACCTTAGGTAAATCATAACCTTGATCCCGGAGCTATCTCCATCCCTAAGGTCTATTTTATGTCTTTTCAGCAGTAAATGTCTTGCTTGGGTTTTATATTGTTTTCCTCCCAGCAGCGATAGCTTCTCAGCCACGTAAAAGCCCCAGCAGCTACTTAGCATGAGGCAGTAAGTCGAACGGCGCGTACCTGCTCTTTGTGCCTCAATTCTCTCCCCGCTGAACACGAATGTGAGAAGAACCAGGAGGTGGGGCACGCGGCATCTTCCCGTAATGGACATATCTCCTTTCTCACATCAGCTTGTCTTTTCGCCGTGGTGAGAAGCTTGGTAGAAATCCAATCTGTAGCCTAAAATAAAAAGCAAGTGTTATCTCATAGAAACACAAAGAGAAGTAATGATGCAAGTCATGGGAGCAACGTTTTGGGGAGTTGTGTCTTCTGCCTGTCATTTTATTTGACTAGACACAAACTGCTCAGACAAAGAGGCAGGAGTTCACCTACTTTTCCAAAGCTATAGCCTTTCACTGGCTCTATTCAGTGTGCAGCAGCCTGAATGGAAACAGGAGAGAGATTACCAGATTATTATACTTTAATTGAGCCCACTGCCAACTACACAATCAACGCACTGGAGTGGAAACGATTCCTGACCTGGCCCTCCCACGCATTCATCATTAGGAGATACACAACGCAGAGCCGAGATACGAACCACCGCAAATATCACACAACTGGTTGCCACTTCACCCACCGCCGCTTTCCGTTCCCGAGTCTCAGAAATGACGAACGCTAAAAAGACGTGGCTGTTTTCATATACATATTTGTTGCTATTGGTCCTTCTCTATAGGAGTAAACTCAGCAGCTTCAAAACACGTCTTTCCACTGTTTAGTTTAAAGGAGTGCAAAAGCTCAGGTGGATGATCTTCAGTTTAAGGTCATTGGTTTGAGTTTACCTTGACTGAAGCCGCTGAAGTCAGCCGGTATTGTAACAAGCCAGGCAAAGTGGCTGGGCTGTTAAAAGTTTAGCTGTGTTTTCTAACACTAGACCAACTCATTTTTTTAAAATTTTATTATTTACTTATTGTTGTTGGTTTATTATTTTTTATTAGCCAGACCATAAAAACATCGCAGTTCTATATACTATGTACACACACACAGGGGAAAACAGTTTCCACTCTGTAGCTCTTTACTGCTTAAGGAATCATTTTGGAAAACTTTCTCCCAGCTCCTGAATCCATCTTTTCCTCATTAATGCACAGATTTCTTTGTTCATTTTCTTAGGGAATTTCTGCTTCCTCTGTCTTTTAACATGCACATCAGCTTCTTGCTGTTGATAGCCAGGTAAAAGAGGCATGAAGGGGACACTGTATGTTGTAGATCATTGCTGCAGGGTCAGTTATGCATTCTAGGGTATTCCTTGTCAAAGCAATAGGGTTCTGTGGGAATCACAGACAAAAAGAATGGTGGTGTCAGCATGTGTTCAAAAACAGTCTTGATCTGTCAAATGTCGGGCCTATCTCTACCACGTATATCAGAAATAAAGTGCCCATCATTCTGGTTTATGAAATAAAAAAGGGAAAAATCTTACGTAGTTGTTGAGATGTAACTGTAAATCCTTATTCCCAGGACAAAATACAGGCTCTTATTTTTTCAAAAGTCCATATTGTATGCAGACAAGGAGGAAAGCAATACATCTAATAAATCCTGCACCCTGCAAATAAAACTTGGAAGTTCCATCTTTAGCAGTTCCATCTGCCAGCAGTGAAACTTAAATGCAAGAAAAAATTTAAAAAAGAAAAAAAAAAAAGAAAAAAAAAGAAAAAAAAAGAAAAAAAAAGAAAAAAAAAGAAAAAAAAAGCATGCTCATTCAAATACCACCCCTAAATCCAAAGGGCACAAGCAGGTGCTGTAGTTTACACCTCAGCCAGACGGTGTCCCTACGAGACAGCGAGGTGCTCAGGTTTGAGCGAGATGGAAAAGGTTGCAGGGTAAAAAGGGCATGAAAATATCACCGTGCTCTACAG